TGGAATAAAGTACATTTCCTCTTTTGGTACAATTACGTGGTCAGCTATTTTACTTCACTTTGAAGAACAAAACAAAACAGATTTTTAGATCGGAGCTCTATTAATTATTGTGTATTTTCTTTAAAGACGTATTTTGTTAAGATAAATAGGCCCCATTTTTTTTTTCCTGCAGGATGATTTTTTTTTGCCTCTTGGCAGTTTCCCAGAGAATACAGGAATGGAAGCTTCACAGCGTTGGGATTAAACATGATCTTGGAAAAATCTTGAAAATATAATAAAGGATGGATCTGGTTAGAGATTTGATCAGGATTAGGAAATGTACAATTTGTACAAAAGGTACATTTGTACAAATATACAATAAAGAGTACTGACGACCAGGCCCTGGCAGCTGCTAAAGCTAATGTACGTGGTGATCAAAGGACAAAGGTCCATGAGTTCATTTCCCAGTAGAAAGTTTGAACTCCTCAGAACAGGGGTGTCAAGCTTTATTTCACTGAGGGCCACATCAGGGTTGTGTTTGACCTCATAGGGGAGCAGGGGGCACGGCCAGAGTGGGCATGGCCAGCTCGACGTCATTTGTGTTGGGGGAGCCTGTGGTGGCCCAAGCACTCTGCCAGTGAAAACTGGCTCTTGAGCTCCGTTTCTGGCTGTGATGGCCTCCTGCAACCCTCTGCCAGTGAAAACAGAGCTCGCGAGGGCTGCATGCAGCCCTCCCAAGCTCCGTTTTTGCTGGCAGAGGTATTGTGGGCTGGTCCTTTGATGTTTTCATGGTGGCCCTGCTGGCCAGATCTAAGGACCCCATGGGCCCGGATCTTGTGTTTGACACCTCTGCCTTAGAATAACATGGAGCTAGCTACATCTGATGAGCAGGATTTCCTGCTTTCTAGCGAATATAAATGATGTGGCACAGCTGATTGTCAAAAATAGCTTTTTTAAACTACCGGTTCACCCAAATCGGTGTGAACCGGTAACATTTCACCCCTGGGTCAATGTAATGTAACTGAAAATACTACCCAGGCCACGCTGTGTAAAAGTAGGTTCAGGGTGATATGTATCCCAATATTCACAGCGGAACATAGGATGAGCCTAAAAGCATTAGGCTCATCAGAAATAATTTCCTCTATATCTTTAAAACATGCAGTGTATCAGTATGAAGATGCTGGTGCAAATGAAGATGAAGATGTGCTAGCAGGTTACCAGCATTAACAGAATAACAGAGTTGGGCAGTGGTGGGTTTCAAAATTTTTACTACTGGTTCTGTGGGTGTGGCTTGGTGGGCATGGCATGGCTTGGTGGGCGTGGCTTGGTGGGCATGGCATGGGGAAGGATACTGTAAAATCTCCATTCCCACCCAACTCCAGAGGAAGGATATTGTAAAATCCCCATTTCCTCCCGATCAGCTGGGACTTGGGAGGCAGAGAATAGATGGGGGCGGGGCCAGTCAGAGATGGTATTTACCAGTTCTCCGAACTATTCAAAATTTCCACAACCAGTTCTCCAGAACTGGTCAGAACCTGCTGAAACCCACCTCTGGAGTTGGGGGGGGGGACCTTGGAGGTCTTCTAGTCCAACTGCCTACTCAAGAAGGAAATCCTATACCCTTCCAGACAAGTGGCTGTCCAGAATCTTAAAATCTCCAGTGATGGAGCATCTACAATTTCTGAAGGCAAGCTATTCCACTGGTTAATTGTTCTCACTGCTACAAAATTTCTCCTTAGTTCTAGTCTGCTTCTCTTCTTCGTTAGCTTCCATCCATTTTTTTCTTGTCTTGCCTTCTACTTTGGAAAATAGATTGATCCTCCCTCTTCTTTGTGGCAGCTTCTCAAATATTGGAAGACTGCCCTCATGTCACCCCTAGTCCTTCTTTTCGCTAGACTCGATATATCCAATTCCTGCAACTGTTCTTCATACATTTTAGCCTCCAGCCCCAGAATCATCCTTGTTGCTCTTTTGTGAACTCTTTCCAGAGTGTCTACGTCTTTTTTATAATATAGTGACCAAAACTGGATGCAGAATTCTAAGTGTGGTCTTACGAAGGCTTTTATACACTGTGACTGATTTCTCTTTGTGTGTCTGTGCGTGTGTGAGTGTGCGTGCATGCAGAATATTAAAAAAGCAGGGGATCGATTGACAGAGAAAAGCTGCAAGTTAAACTGTTTCTTGTGACATAGCCTAATTACTACCATTCCAGGCTCAAAGGTATTGTCCCTAGTACAGATGCCCCGTATTACTTCTTTTAAAAAAAAAAAAAATGCTATTGAAGCTTTCCAACAGTTTTTCAGGCAGCAAGAGTAAAAAAAAAAAAAGAGAAGAAGAACGATGCAATTTTGTGTTGTTATTAGTCTTCACACAAGACACCGAACAAGAGCTCTTATCCAGAAATTACTTTGGAGAGTGTGTATTTCCTGAAAGGAAAATGAAGAATTCAGACTGTGCTTCAGAGGATAAATGGAACGAAATGAATATCATCTGTTATCTAATCCCACTGAACTGTCTATAAAACATCACTGTAGTGTTTTTATCATGTAACCTAGAAATGCATCTTTAACTTTACCGCATGTGCAAAGCACTCCTATACCTAGAACCTGGTGATATGCCAGATATGAGGGGCATTAGGATATCTGCTATGGCTGGAGAGTTATTTGTGTGCTATTCAGGAAAAGCAAGTCACGCTTTAACGTGATAGTGAGTAATAACTCTGACAATTAATCAAAAGACAGTTAATCAAAATCCCAACCCTGCTTGGCCACGGTTGCATGATGAAAACTCTGCATGATAAAAAAAAAGAAAGAAATCAGTGGAACTTGAAAGATAATTGAGTGGAACACTACAGATGTGTTTAATTAACTTCATAGTCATCCTCCTTAAGTCAAAGGTGGACACTTCCTAGCAGCAGGTTCTAACAGATTCTGCAGGTTCTAACAGGTTCTGGAGAACCGGTAGCGGAAATTTTGAGTAGCTCGGAGAACTGGCAAATACCACCTCTGGCTGATGAGAGCTAAATAGCTTGAAATAGATCTATACTAGTCTCCCTTTATACATATATGTGTATGCACATCCACACGCACATGCACATACGCACACACAATCTATCTCTCTATCTCTATCTATCTATAATCTATCTCTCTATCTCTATCTATCTATCCATCCATCCATCTTGGTGTAATGTGTGCAAGGCATGTTTTTGAAAAGTGTGGGGTTTTGATTACCCGATCATGCCTGCAGATTTGAGACTGCTTGACCTTCTCTTCTTCTGGTGGAATCCCTTGCTTCCTAGGTTTCAAAATCAGGTACAGACTCAAGGACTGAAGTCTTCTTCATTTGGAAGGACAAAAAAAATACCAATATTCCAAAAAATATTTGGAAATATTTTGGAAAATATTCTATTAGAAAATATAAATCTGAAGTCCTCTCCTGGGCCTGATCTTCTGTTTCTCTCTCTCTCTCTCTCTCTCTCTCTCTCTCTCTCTCTTTTTTTTTTGTGGGGGGGAACCAGTATTACATCTGAAGATCTATAAATATCCATCCCAATTTTCCATTGCTTAGATGATTAGGATGATTTTCCCCCCGCTTCAAGCTGAAGCTTAATCCTTTTTCCAATCTGCTTTGTTACCTGAGTTTCTCTATTCTTGGAAGAACTCAAGCTAGAGATGCCAACGGAGAGAAACAGCTTGGCAACACCAAACCTGTTTGAGCTTATTGCTTATCTTTGGTTTGGTGACTCACACATTGTGGCAGTCTATTCCATAAGGCAGGGGTCGGCAATGTTAAACACTCAGAGAGCCATTTGGACCCGTTTCCCAGACAAAAGAAAACACCGGGAGCCACAAAACTCTTCCCGTGCCTGACTATTTCCTAAGCGGCCACAAAACTAGCATATGTAGTTGAATTAAAGATTCTGTTTTCTTCTAAAGCTTTTCTTTTCTTGGATTTATCCATGATTGGCCTATCGGGGGTCAAAAAGCTTAATAAATTGTGTGTCAGTGGGTGTTGCACATTGGCAGTTGTGACACATATTTGTGTGACAGGGAGCTGCAGCTGAGGGATGAAAGAGCCACATGCGGCTCCAGAGCCACGGGTTGCTGACCCCTGCCGTAGGGGAACAAAGAGATTTTTTTCTCACTATTATTGAGGCAGGACATCCATTAAGTATGTTACTCAAGATTAGAAGATTCTTGTCTTTGCTTTTACAACTACTTACATTTGATAAGCAGTTGCAAAACTTTAGAAAAAGAAAAAAGTGATTTCCACTCTGAGAAGATAATAAAATGGCATCAAAGACGTTTGAAAAGGATAACTCATTATTGGCAATGTTAATAGGACAGACTTTTAGAATTTGGAAGAGTACTGAGCCACTGAGTCCAACACAAAACTATTGACCCCTGTGTCTTCCCAAGAAACAAACATAGAATTTTCTCTTGAAATAAAAGTCATTCAAGATGGATGACTTGAAAAACATAATACTTTGGGAAAAGGGATCCTGTGTATCAACTATGAGATATATTGGTTCGCTTATACAGAAAGGCAAAAACTTTCACTTTTTGCAATTCTCACAATTAAAGTCTATGGCCTACTTACAACTAAATGAAGAAAGGGGAGAATTTTCTTGCATATTACAGACAAGCATAATTAATTTTGGTATTAATGCTTTAACCTTAAGAACGTTGAGACCTGTAATTGACACAAATTGTTTAGATATGTGTAATATTTGTTTAGCAAGCAATCTATACCAAGTTAATTAGATAGTGTGCTTAATATCTAATTTCCTTTAGTTGTGTGGCTAAATGGTAATTAAATTGCTAAACATTCCTCACAAGTGCAGTGAAATAATAGGAACGGAGTTGCACACTCATTTGGTTCTGCAAATTTGAATTAATTACATGGCAAGTAGATTTATCTTTTATAACTTATACCTCAATAGGTGCTCTTCCAACGATCAATTGGGATTTAATTTCCCTTCAACTGCTTTATTAATTCTCAATTAAATATGGTTGGTACTGTAACAGTTCGTACTAGCAGATTCTTTAATTACAGATAGATTTTTGCAAAATTAAGTACTTGGCTGAAGGACATCCCGGCTAGACTTCCTTTATGCTGAGGTTGTGCGGAGTTTCAATAGGATGATTCAGTTTGATTGGATTGAAGTCAAATCACCCCTCGGAAAAAGGACTCATCGAAGCCACTTTGTACTGGTCCATTCATGTTAGTATATTCTCCGACAAAAGGTGATACAAATGTGAATTGATTTAACTTGTTTCCTTCTTCCCGTGCTCTAATCTTAAAAGTTTTGATCGAGTAACCTGTTAAAATAACCAGATCAAATGAAATATAAAATCAAATATTAACAGGCTTGCGAAGAGAAAGGGGAGCATTATCAGTACTCCCTCTGAGCTTCCCTTGCTGTTTGCTCATGCACGCTGGCTGTGCGATTGCACAGACAAAGGGCTCAAGATTTGACAATACTCCTGTTTCAACTCTTCAGGCAAAGATGGACCAATGTTCAAAACAGCTCTGAGATTTTCTGCTTGATTTGTCTTTGGTTATCAGCAGAGTACAGTTTTGACATTACATAGTTGAAGGTCCTCAGTGACGTACTGGTTGCTCATTAATTTATTAAAAGTATACTGTATGTTTCTTGCCAATCCTAATTCCAACAAACTGATCAGAATAAATCTTAATAGAATAAAGGAGTTAGAAGGGACCTTGGAGGTCTTCCAGTCCAAGCTCCTGCTCAAATAGGAAACCCTATACCATTTCTGTTGTGGAGGTTAATAAAATCAATGAACCGTGAACCTTTGTCTCTATGAATTTCTACTTTAACAAATGAACCTTTAAATCATTTAACAGTAAATGTTTTTATTTACATAATAAAAACATAACAATATCTATACAATTAATAAACAGCTCTTAGTTACTATGATTAATTATCCTGTCAGCTATATATCTATATCTATATCTATTCTCTCTAAGCTATGTTATCTATGACAATTCTTCCTCAGAAGAAATATTATTATAAACCACCAGAACTGCTCTTCTAACAGACTTCCAAACTGCTCACAGTTGTTTAACGGATGATCCTAGAAGAGTTAAGACCTAAGACCAAATAGCTAAGACGAGTGAAGATCGAAGAGCAAAGAGTTTCTGACAAGAATCTCCTTTTATACTGCTAACTATGACAGTTAGGGTAGGACCCTGGAGATTCAAACATATTAGCTGCCCTCTGATTGGCTTATGTATCTGTCCATTCCAAAAGCCATTAATAGGCACAGCTATAGAGAAATAAATTTTCTCTAACAATTTCAGACAAGTGGTTGGCCAATCTCTTTTTAAAAACTTCCAGTGTTGGGGCACCCACAACTTCTGGAGGCAAGTCATTCTATTGATTAATTGTTCTATCTATTAGGAAAAAGATTATCTGTAGTGCCACATTGGATCTCTCCTTGATCCAATTCAACTCCTACCCTCAAAACGACACTATAGGGTTCTGCACACCAAGAACAACAAGACACAAGGACAGTTTTTTCCCAAATGCCATCACTCTGCTAAACAACTCATTCCCACAACACTGTCAAATTAACTACTAAGACTGTAGTTCTTCTCATCCTTACTAGCACCTATCTCTTCCCACTTACGGCTATATCCATATTGCTTGTATCTTTACAACTTATATTGTTTTTATTGTTTCCTAGTATGATTTGATTGCTTATTAGAATCCTATGACTATCACTAAGTGTTGTATCTTATGATTCTTGATGAATATATTTTATTTTTTCTTTATGTACACTGAGAGCATATGCACCAGAGATAAATTCCTTGTGTGTCCAATCACACTTGGCCAATAAAGAATTCTATTCTGTTCTGTTCTGTTCTGTTCTGCTCTGCTCTGCTCTGCTCTATTCTAGTTTTGTTGATCATTCCAGAAGGGCCTGATGACCTAGCATTGCCTTGGTGGCGCAGCAGACTAAAGTGCTGTTAAGTAGCACCAGCTGCCTGCAATTACTGCAAGTTCAAATCTTACCAGGCTCAAGGTTGACTCAGCCTTCCATCCTTTCAAGGTAGGTAAAATGAGGACCCGGATTGTGGGGGCAATAAGATGACTTTGTATAAAAAAGAACACCACTTGGGGGGGGGGACGAAATCCCTACTTAACAGGTATATATAAAAGTATGAAGGCTATTGCTTAATGCATTGTAAGCCGCCCTGAGTCTCTGGAGAAGGGCGGCATATAAATCGAACCAATAAATAAACAATAAATAAATTGCCATCTAGCCTGAGGATCAGACAGTGGTATGGAGCCCATAAAATGGCTGTACTAAATAGGTTGTACTCTCCCAATGACTGCATTGTATGGGTGTTTAATCTTGTTAACATCTTGCATTGTTTGAAGGCTATTTTATTTTGCTTGGTATCTTTTAATTGTAAGCCACCCAGAGTCACAAATGTGAGATATACAAATGTTAATATACAAATGTGTTAATGAACTTTATTATTCTTATTATTACAATCAGCATTATTATAATGTAACATCGTATGCATCACACAAACCCTATGATTTATATTTTGGTCTTGTATGTTAAAATATTTATGTTCTGCTCATATTAAACTCATCAAGACCTTGCTTTAGAGCACAAGAGCAAACTCCCTTCCACACTAATAGTTAATCTGTGATTATCTAAATAACAATAGAGTCCCTCCTTATAGCTGTAAGCAATGTTTATACCCTTTAATAAGCATTCAGCTAGACTGAACAAGCTGAGATATCAAATTAATGCAATGTGCTTGATTGCACTGCTGAAGTTGTTCCAATTTAATAAAGTAAGTCTGCAGCAACAGATGTTTATTTTACTGTTGCTTTCTCCTTGCAATTAATAATTACTATATTCGGGTTTTTTTTTATTTTGATAGATGACTGCCTGATCTTAGTCATTTATTTGTGTGGCAGTAGGAAAAAAATAACAGCTTCTCATCTTAATATTAGGAGCTTTTTAAAAAGATAATGGTGTGCCTATGATTAATGGTTGTCAGCATTTGTTCTGAATATTATTGTATTTTCTGTATCTCCATTCCTTTTTAACATTCAGAGGAAGCACTGGAGATCATCTAATAGCCCATCTTAGCGACCTGTTAATGATACTTCTAACATATGTCTAACACTTTAATTGCCTATATTGTTATTTATATGACACTACTACAAACCTCCCAGATGTGCTTGACAGTGAAATGGGCAGCATATAAATTTAATAATAAATAAAAATAACAATGAGAATATCTAAATGGAAAATGATTGTCTTTATTGGCTCCAACTTGCAAACAAGAGATGGAACAGTGGTGTTTAAAGGGTTTTCCACTAAAATCTGCTTCGTTCAAAAAAAGAAATAAAGAATGCAAATTGCATTATTACAGTCATGCCTACTTAGTTAGCTCTCCATAAGCTCTTAAGAACTGAATTATTTTGGAGAACCTGTGAAAGATGAAATGCTGCCATCAATTATTATTGTTTAACTGTTGTTTGGTTTTATTTTTCTTTATGTTTTTTTTAGTTTTATATCGTGGATGCTTAATTGTATTTTATTGTAATTGTTTGTACTGTTGATTGCCATATGGCTATTGCTATCTGCCAAGTGTCTGTTAACAGAGATAGGTATCAATCGGGTGAAATCCAGCAGGTTCTAACAGTTTCTAGAGAACTGGTAGCGGAAATTTTGAGTAGTTTGGAGAACCAGCAAATACCACCTCTGGCTGGCCCCAGAATGGGGTGGGAATGGAGATTTTGCAATATCCTTCCCCTGCCATGACCACCAAGCCACAGTCACAGAACCGGTAGGGAAAAATTTTGAATTTCACCCCTGGTATCAATCTATATAAATAAATAAAAGATTATGATGATGACAATATCATTTTATTTTAAAATTTCACTTACAAATTACAAATTCTATGTGATTTTAGGGATTACAAATTCAGCAGAGATATTTTTATGATATTTATATAGTTCCCTGCATCCTTTATCTAATTTTGACATTTTCTGCATTTTTCCCATTAAAAATACATGGTTGAGCATACTTCTCTCTCTCTCTCTCTCCCTCTCCCTCTCTCTCTCTCTCTCCCTCCCTCTCTCTCTCTCACACACACACACAAACACACACACACACACATTGTATTGCTTGTATCTCTCTACTTTATAATTGTTCCAATTCTTTCCCTTCTCTTCCAAGTCTCTTTAAATTTATCTGGCATGAACCTCTGCTCCCTTCCAAAGAAAATCTCTTCAAATCATCTTTGGTGAAATGAGTCAGCCCTAAAACCAGAACTGTTAAGATGGACAGAATAACGATGTGAGTCTTTATGGTTTCCATAGGTATACTTATGAAATAAAGTCTAATTGATTTGGTGCGCAAATAATAAATTATGAATAGAAACATATTTGTAGGCCAAGAACTTTCCTCAACACTTTTGAGGCCTTAATGTGGGTAGTCTACATCACACAGAAGAGATGGATACTTGGTGGGGGCTAAAGATTGTGAGATTGATCATTCATGATGTGCCTGTTGAAATATATCTTTCAGTGGTCAGGTACAATCTCCAAATGGTAAGAAAAGGCACTTGTGGATTTGATGGTTGCATATGTTTCTGAAACACCATCATAAATGTGGATGACAGATCACAGCGGCTAAATTCATGGTAGATTATACCGAACTGTAAATTTGGCCTTTGTAAGACTGAAGCTAACTTTGATGTACACGTACATGCACAAATATGTACCTACAGAGAAAGGGATAGGTTTAGAAAGCATTTTGACTGAGGAGCAAGTTAAAAAAGCCAATTTCAGATAAATACCATGTTTCCCCGAAAATAAGACCCTGTCTTATATTTTTTTGAACCCTGAAATAAGCGCTTGGCCTTATTGCCATACACTCAAAAGCCCGATTAGGCTTATTATCAGGGGATGTTTTGTTTTGGGGGAAACAGAGTAGTTGTAAAATTTAGATTAGTAAGTGAAACCTTACTTTGACCATGTTTTGCAAAAGGGAGAAGTAGACCTTCAGTCCCATATACATTTTGTTAAATATCAAGTTACGCACATCTTTGGATTTTCATGTTTTCTTACACTTTGCACCGTGCAACCTTTTGGTAATTTTTTACGTGTCCTAATACATTATTAAATATAGATTTATCATTTGAAATTCAGATGATTATGGCTCCGCAAACATGCTGATTCATAACAATGCAAAAATATGGAAACAGCCAATATCTCGATTCAGCTCATGATTTACTAGGTTTTTATGATAATTTGCAAGGGGGGAAATTGAATTAACTATCCTGTGGAAGTATACTTGGAGGGACTTTTTTTCTGCTAGATTAAACAGTGAACAGTGCATTTAAAGTTTTGCCCTACTTTACAATAGAATATTGCATTTAACCATGAGCTTGTACCTGAAGATAGCAAGGCTTTTAGAATAATAAATATTTTAAGATATGCTTGAAAAGCTATACTTGATGGAATCGTTTTCAAATTCACATCCAAGAGAATACATAAGAACTAAACTACTGAAATGGCCCCAAGACCATCACTAGAAAAGTTTAAAGCTTCAGACTACTAAGCTTTTCAACCCTCAATATCTAATAGATTATCTTTAGTGCAACCAACACTCTAGCTGCTACTTAAGAAGAACAAGAAAACTAGGTGAGCTTCAGGAGAAGACATTCTGAATGTATGTTATCTTAAAAGTTAATGTTTTGCCAGGCGTTCAGTTCTTCACTTTTTTTTTTTTTTTGATTTATATGCCGCCCTTCTTCAGAGACTCAGGGCGGCTTACAAGGTGTTAAGCAATAGCCTTCATACTTTTGTATATTTTATACAAAGTCAGCTTATTGCCCCCAGAAACTGGGTCCTCATCTACTAACTTATCTACTAACTTCTAACTAACTGCTAACTACTAACTTCCTAAATTTGAATATGATGATACCTGTCTCTTCCAATTCTCTCCAATTGGTTTCCAATTGCAAGATACTTTACAGGTTAAGAAAACTACCTGTATACACATGAGATCCTTGTAGATTTAAATATAAAGGTAGACAATACTTAAGTCCACAATATTTTCTCTGACTACCAAATATGATTAAAAGACATAAGCTTTTGTTAGCTGCAGCTCACGAAAGCTTATGCCATTTAATAATAATAATTTAAAAAATACAGTTGGAAAAAGTGCTAGCAGA